CATCACCATCACATGCACTATTGGGTCCAAACCTACAACCTTTTGCATATCTTCTACAACCATATCTTTTTAAAGTTGCTTATCAGTATAACAATATGGTTTGAAGTTATTTGTATGTCAGTTTGTATGTTGTATTTTATATTATGATTCTTTTATCATTGCTTTATTATTTTATATTGATATTGAGGTCAAACCATATGCTTTATTTTACATTGTGAATCTTTTATAGTTGATTGATTTTATGCTTGTGAAGCACTTTGAGTTGCATTTTATGTATGAAAAGTGCTATACAAATACATGTTTATTATTAATATTATTTTTGTCACCATCCCATATATTTATCCACTAGGCCACACCACTTCTCTCTATAAAATCATTATATATGGGTATATAGAGGCCCCTTCTTCAGGCCAGCGTCTGTGCACTTCATATGAAACACATTCCTCTGCAGTTTCCTCATTTTGCTCTGATGACTTGACAGACCTTGTGCTTATCTGGCTGTTTGCTCCTAAAATAGAACTAATAGCCTATATATCTTGAACCTGTTCAGATGCCTTTCGGTAACCCTACACTTTTATGAAATCCAATCAGTTTGGACTGAAATTATTGTTTTGTGTCGGGTAATCGCAGTTCAATGATCATGTGCCCCTAAAGCCGGCGACCACAAGCACCTGCTCTGTTCTTGCTCGGTCAAGGATTGTTCTGTTGATAGAGCTTCATTAGGACTGTTGAAGGTGTATGTTGGTGGGGTTCAATAAGCTGCTTCTCTTTATTCTTCTCTGAGCTGCCCAGTTAAGCATGGCTAGTACTTAGACAAGGACTTCAAAGTGTTTGTCAAACTATTCAGGTGGTCAGGCCAGGTCCTGATAAACACACACGCATCTGCCACACATAAAAAATATGTTGTTTTATGATTCTCAGTATCAATTTTAATACCACAACAAATATGAATATTCTATTGAACACTTTATATATAGAAATATAAAGTTTAGATTAGAACCATTTAAAACTATATATGTGTTATATCTGTATACTGATTTAACCATAAGTGCTGGACCACAAAACCAGTCATAAGGGTCAATTTTTCTTATAAATTGAATGAATAAGCTGAATGAATAAGCTTTCCATTGATGTATGGTTTGTTAGGATAGGACAATATTTGGCCGAGATACAACTATTTTAACATCTGGAATCTGAGGGTGCAAAAAAATCAAAATATTGAGAAAATCGCCTTTAAAGTTGTCCAAATGAAGTTCTTAGCAATGCATATTACTAATCAAAAATTAAGTTTGAATATATTTACAGTAGTAAATTTACTAAATATCTTCATGGAACATGATCTATACTTAATATCCTAATGATTTTTGGCATAAAAGAAAAATCAATAATTTTGACCCAATACAATGTATTTTTGGCTGTTGCTACAAATATACCCCAGCGACTGGTTTTGTGGTCCAGGGTCACATATTGGTATTTTTGACATGATTCATATATATTAAAACAGAAACACAAAATATACAACATGCACAAGCAAAATATTTTTTTTAAAGCTGCACAAATATTTATATTGTGATGAACATGATTAGAAATTTGATGACCAAGCCAGAGAAAGGGAAAAAAGAGAGCTTCCTCTGAGTACTGGCAGTTCAACACAAGCTTTTTTGCTTGTGTTTTTCCTTGGTCTCTTGGGTATGGCCATCAAAACAAAACATCCCATGGATTTGTTCCCATGGCTACACCAAATATCTCCAAGTTAATTCATGTCAGTACAATGAACTTCTCTCAGAGTCCTTTAAAAAAAAAAAAAAATTATAATAATTTACTTCATAGTTTCTGTCAGGTGTTGAGAGAGTAGCTCTGTTCCAAAACCTAATGAGATGCCTACATAGATAGCATCCTAACTGAAACCGAACCTAATAAATGATATAGTAAATTGATTTATAAAGAACTTTTTGTTTCATCCACCATCTTGAGTTCAATGGATCTCTCTTTTTTTCTGAACAGAGTGAACCAAGCCATTCAAAGTATTTTTCTAGCTCTGTCAAGACAACAGACCCATTACCCAGCTCTACAGCTACAAAAAGAGCCATCCTTCAGAAGATGTAAGTACTATTCTGATATACCTCGCGGTGATCCATCTACATCTTCACGTAACCTTTCCTCATTCCTCCAGTGCCAGGCAGGCTAGCATCCAACCCCAACAGCGGCAAGATGATCAAGAGTCCAGATCAACCCAATTCCAAGCGGACAATGCTGAGAAGGGCTCTGCCGAAACATGTCGTCCTGTCACCATATCGTCTGGCAGCTTGCTCACGGGTGAGTCATTGGAGGAAGGGAAAGCTGTGTTGTCATCTAAATTAAGTAACAGTAAAGAGGTCACTGAACCACATCTTGACGCTACCGGTCCGAGGAGACGTCCACGGACCCCAAGTAGCTCAGGAGAACACGCTGACCGCCAAAAGACAAAAAGATTGCGTCTTGGAGAGCCTGCAGCATCAAGCGATTCCAACAATCCCTCTTCCGACATTGCAGCACCAAACTCTGTTTGCAATCCCCAGCCTGAGATTTCACAGACTAACCAAAGCGGGCTGGCCGCATGTCTGAAAGGCCTATCCGTCAAGCCCGTATCCTCTGGCTCCTCTAGTAGTTCCAGATCGGTCGCCAGAGAGGGAAAGAAGGGGGGTGAGTCCAGAACATCCCGATTACGCCGACTCAAGAAGCCCTGAGGGGCGCAGCGGCACAGAACCGGAGAGGATGTCTGACGCCACCATGATGGATGTTACAGTACACACTTCTACTGTAATACTGTCTGTCAGCGGCGGTTGCACAAGAGTTCACCACACACAGTCTCTGCACATACAGTACTTCCCTTCTCCCTTTAAACTGAAAAACACACAAAACTGCTTAAACGCTTGAATTAGATTACCAAGAAGCTCTCAAATATTTGAATGGACTCCACTAGCAACAGATTAAAAGGAACTCAAGCAAACAGTAACTTCACTCTAAACAAAAACACGAATGTAGTTCGCGTTTTCGGTGCAAGATTTGTATTTCAGACTAGCGGGAGCCATTGAACACACTGTGGCTTCAAGCCCAAATCTCTGGCTCCATCTGTCTGAAATGTCCACTCTTCCAGCTTCAGCTGAGCACATGATTGATTTCGCTGTGTTCTCACATACACCGCGTTTTTTAAGCGATCAGGGGTTTTCACCATTGGAGCCGACTGCCGTCTCCCTGCGGTTATTATTTGTAAATGTGTTATTGCTTTTCGTAACAGCTAAAAGTCTGCTGCAGGATGACTGACAACGTTATGGAACGCTGTAGTGATGCTCGCGTTCGATATTTGGCTAATCATGGTTGCAGTCGACATTGATGTAGTGTGTGATGGCAGGATGATTATATGTATGCGCATTAATTCGTTGAGTCACATGCTTTATTTTCCAGCCGTGCTTACAAATCACTTGATGTTTATGTATTTAGTATAATAGATATGTGTCATAAAAACGTTATCAGAATATACAAGCATTGTGCTGTAATAATCCCATAACGTTGCAGTCGGAATGCTTCTGGTTTAGAGTTAGAACACATTTTAAAGTAATTTCACTGTATGTTCTGATGTTATGTAATAAAATTTGAATCAATAAAATGTTTGTAGTGAGAACATTGTGAACTAAATAGCCACGGAATATATGAAATCATCACTTTGTTTATGCAATATACTGTACTGCCTTACAATATAACTCATGTTTTACTATTACTTAATTATTAATAATAAAGACATTCATTTTTTTTATTACTTTGAATTATCTAGTGTTCAGAATGACATCAACATTCAGCAAATTGAAGCTTACAGTTGTGATGTAAATTTAGTAGCAGATCCTTTCTTCCGCATTTTGACTTACATTCAAGTGAAACAGATTATTGAAAAAGAAAAAAAAAATGTAGATTGGGAACGTCTATTTATTGGTTGTTGGTTAAATTTTGAGATGTGTGAGGTTTAAGTGGACTAAATGATTGGAGAAATTCAGCATACATCTCCAAGGAGAAGTCTGTCGTTTTCGATTGAAGATTGAGTTATGACATTTTGATTAAGGTCAAGAAAATGTCATCAACCCAATCCAAACCCGTTCAACATCCTTTCTTCTGTGGAAGACCTAAAGGAAATTCTGGAGGCTGTGCTGAGCATTCATTTTGATGCAATTCCAATGAATGGAGACTGATGATTTCAAGCTTCAGAGCACAAAATAATAATCATACAAGTTACTTGTGCATTATATCCAAAGTGTTCAGAAGCTATAAAAAGCCAGACTGAAGTTTAAGTTGTTTTTCACTGATATTCCTCTGCTGCAAACAAATTGAGTCAGCAAGTTTATCGAGAGTCTGATTCATAAATCATTCAGACAGGTATTATGAACTGGATCAACTGAATGATTGAGAAGTTGTTACTCACAAGAATGATTGGTTCACAAATTGGATTTCACTCATTATAAGAAAAGCTAGAGTGAACATTCAATTATGCCTTTAAGAAGACTTTGAATATAGGGCATGAGTTGTATGAACCACTTTGATGATGTCTTTGTGTTCTTTTTGCACCTTGAAATCTCCAGTCCTCATTCATTGTGCATGGAAAACAGCAACCTTACTCTTCAAACTGTCTTTTTTTTTTGCATACCACAGAAGAAAGTCACTAATACATAAGTAAATGATGAATTTACATGATACATGACTGGAAAACATTGGGAAACCCCTTTCTTCTCATCACCATAAGCTTTGCCTTTTGCCCTGTAGTTATTTTACTGAATACCTCATTCATCATGTAGGAAGGGTAGTTTAGTCGCGGCATCAGTCTTCACATGGTACAGGGTACAATCAGACCTGCACGGTTGTACCACGTAAATACATTTAGACAGACCTTGTGCCTCACATAACATTACGTCAGCATATGAGAGGATTCAGCTCCACCTTAAGCAGCACATTGGAGCACAAATAAAAAACAAGCGTTTAATTTTCCTTTTATACAAAATGTTTAATAAATATAACATTCAAAAATATCGCCAGGAACAAACTAAAAAACTAATTTACAATAAGGTCAAATATGAACATTGAACATTGCCATGATCTCATAGAATTTACAAATGTGATAAGCATGTCGGTTTGGTGTTTTAGAGAGCCTCGATATAAAAGAGAAACTAAAAGAACACTACATGTGCACAGCAATAGAAATGGACTCCTGAAAGCAAGGCAGTCATCTACAGTGTTTCCGTTGGCCCCCTACTGTTCAAGTATTCACAGCCTAGCTTATGACATACTGCAAACCGAAGCTGAAGATAAATTATTTGTGTGAATCAGGTTTACCATCAATCAACTAAAAGACTCGTGTTCCCTTTTATTTGAGGTTTTTTAATGATTTATTTTTTTCTTTTTCATCTGTGGCAAGCAATGTGTCTGCCACCAGGTATCAAAACAAAAAGCAGCCATGATGTTGACATTACCTGCATTGAGCAGGTAAGAGTTGCCAAAATACATGCATTAGAAGTTTCAAATATTGAAATATCTGACAATGTATAAAAAGAAAGAAAGAAAAAAATCTTAGGCACACAAATGCCCATCTTGTTTTTTTTAAACATAGACTGCTTTTTCTCTTTGAAATTTTGGTATGTGAAACATGAAACAAATGTCGTCTGAACAAAGCTATCAAAACCTTCAAAACTAGACAGGACATATAAATAAAAATTAATGATATTTTAAGGCTCTTGATTATTAAGTTAATAAATCAAATATACACAGTGATTAATTAAAAAATATATACATATCTACACTAAATTGACACAATTCTTCATATTGGCAGCAGAAAGCTGATCGACCTATCCCACCCCAAGAAAAGAAAAATAATAAATATATATTTTTTCTTTTTTCATACTCATTTCTGACAATTGCTGTGGTGCGTAGCTGTGAAGGCAGTTTCAATTCAGAACTAGAAGTAAAACCAACAAGAGAGTTTCCACACAGCTGCTGGATAAGGAAGAAACAACTACTTTAGCTGTGAGAGCATTGTCATTATGAACGAAAATAACACTTAAAACTATTTGCAAACACTATGCAAAATTTTCAGAGATACTCAAACGTATCCACAAAAATAAAGACATTTGAAAGGTGTACTTTTTTTTTTTTTACTTTTTTTTTTTCTTTTTCGAAGGAAAACACTGGATGCGAAACGCAGCATTTTGGTTTTCCAGCCATCCACAGCAACTATTACAATTGCCAGTGTGAAGCCAGCGTGTCAAAACTTAAATTAACACAGGATTCTAGGCAAATAACAGCCTTGGAGTCCAGAACACGACGCAACAGTTTTAAGAAGCACAACCCCCCGAATGACCCCCCGAGACCCTGTCAAATGACCGGTAAGTGCAACAGGGGTTCGGTCGCACGGCAACACAGCTGCCTGCTATACGATATACTCCATCCTGTTTAAGCTCTGTGCCGTCTCCAAGTCTCTGTTGTCCTGTTTGTTAGTCCAGTTTGGGTTTTTGTTGGGCGCACGCTCCTCACACTCCACCAGCGTGTAGGCCGGCTGTTTGGTGAAGCGCGCTTTCTGCAGGTGTTTGTCCATCTCCTCTTCCTCCACCTCAGAGTTATGCGTCCTAATTTTGGCAATGATGGTGTTCTTCCCCTCATAGTCTTTTATGGCCACGCCGTGGGTCGCATGTTTCTCGATGGGGTTTTTGATTTGGTTGAGCTGCTCACGCACGTTATTGGTGGTATTGTCCTCTGTAGCTGAGGTAGTTGTGTTGCTGTGTGTGTTCTGTTTCCGCCGGCGGTGAATACACCACAGGAAGGCCGAGGCCAGGGCAAGGATCCAGAGCACGATGAAGATGGAGCTGAGCAGAGGAACCAAGTAGTCTGGGGACAGAAGAACCAGTGAGACAGTTAGGCCCAATCCTAATTCTACCCCTTAGCCCTTCCCCTTTCCCCTACCCCAACCGTTTCGCGCGTTCACGTGAATGGGTTGGGGTGTCTCGATTCTCTTTTGGTTGGAGGGGTAGGGGTAAGGGGAAGGGCTAGATAGCCCTTCAAACAAAGATTTTTCGGGACCACACTTCAAACGAAGGGGTATGAATTATCTCAGCGTAAACCGGCTTCAGCGGCAACATGGCTGCCCGAGCAAACAAAAAGACACATAAATGTAAGCATTTTTGGCATTAATAAAGATTTTAACGAAAAGTAATCATTTGTTTTATATTACATTCAATCGTGAGTCCATATTTACGGTCATGTTACTCAATGAAATGTTTGCAAAAAAATCGCTAAAGTTTGCTAACGTCATATCATTACAAACTGCACGATAGTGCCACAACATATTTTCATGTCTGATGAGGGCGATAACCACCATAGACATTGAGCAGGGCTAGTACCCCCAATAATTATAAATCGCTAAACCCTTTTCTCAAATATTGCCAATTCGAGAGAGAGAGATGAAAGTTGCGTGTATGCGCGTCTGTGCGTTTCTCTTTTTAGAGTGAGTTTACTTCAAAAACAGTGATTTTTTCCTCTCGTTGCTGGAAAATATAATGCAGCGATTCAGTATTTAAACTGTTATTAATAAAAGTCGTGGGGCAGCGTTGACAAGTTTCTTTGCTCCTGGATGTGTGAGCTGCACGATATCTGATATGTGTGTGTGTGTGTCAGGAAACAGCGCATTAATATAGAACGGTAATTAAAGGCTCTAATGCACACACCAGTATAGGTGTGCGTATTGTAGTTGCTAGACGACGTATGATGACGTGTGGCAGTATAGTAGTGGTGTCCCAATTCTTAGGGGAATATTTTTACCCCTACCCCTTGACACTCTGTTTCAAGGAACAAGGAGAAGGGGTAGGCGGAGGGCTAGGGGAAGGGGTATAAAATAGAATTGGGATTGGGCCTAAGTCAGTATTCAGGACAATGAGAAATCTTTTAAAAATAGTTTGAAACATGCTCTTATTAGAAATGTGCTCTTGGTATTCATGTTTGTTTCATATTTGTAACATTTTCAAGAAAAGTTTTGATTTTATTGACCAATCTAATGGCAAAAAAAGAAATCAACATTTGGATATGGGAAAACCTTGGAGTTTGAAAACAGAAGTGGTGTAGGAAAAAATAATCCACACATGAGTTTAACAGCAACATTTTCCTATTTTGAAAATGACATACACTGTTTGACCCCTGGCCCAATCTACAGAGGCTGGCGCACACGGTTTAAAGGTTTCTTAAGTTAAGAAGAGACTAAGCAGCTTGGCAGAAACAAAGGATGCCATTTTTGATGAACAGCATGCATAAAGAGGGCCCTGATGTCTAATTGAAGTTCCATCCAACTGGCAGAGTTGATGTAACATTCCATGGCTTCAATGACTTAAAAGCTTCTTTTGACAGTAAAACATTGCTCAGGCAAGACAGACCAAGGACATACATTATAATACGACTGCCCCTGACTGTGGAAACCTTAATACTTTGATTTTCGACTACTTTTTAGCAAAGATGGACCCAATGTCCAGTGTGATGGAGAGCTGCTTACCAATTTTGGGGCTTGGTGTCTGGTGAACTCGTACGCCGGTGATGGCTTTGATGATGGTGCTGTTACCATTGTGCTTGCTCACCAAGTCAAATATTTGAACCGTAATGTCTTTAATGGGACTCCTCTCCGACCTGGGCTCTTCTGTGGACTGCACAGGAAACGTAGACTCATAAATATCACAAAAGATGTACTTTTATTTCTTGAGATATTTTGAAGAATGTTTCAACTGTATTTGTCCATAAAATGGAAGTCATTTTGGTACAAAAAAAACCTCTGGACTCCATTTACTTTGTATATGAAGAAAACAATTAACTTAAAAAAAAACTCATTATCTTATCTTTTGTGTTCCATAGAAGGAAGTCATACAGGTTTGGAACGACACAAACGTGAGTAAATGACATTAATCTTTGAGTAAACTATTGCTTTAAATAAGTGGTGTCCACTTAATTAGAAATACCTGAACCAGCTGATCAAGGTCTTTTAGAGTGCTAGAAACTTCCTGTCAGGTGTGTTGTAACAGGTTGGAGCTAAAGGTGGTCCTCCAGAAACATCTTTAAATGTTAGACCCATTTAAACTGGTTGAAAAGCTGTACTTACAATGCTGACGTGAATCTCGTTGCTGGCTGATGAAGATAGCTCACAGGTGATGGACACAGCATACTCTGCTGTGAGGTTCTTAAGCAGGTACCAGTGCCTCAGCTCATTACAAACATGTTCCACACTCAAGCCCTGTCACAACAGAAAGACTTCTTATGAGATTGTTCATATTTAAGCACTTTCCAACAAAATAATTAGCACAATATGCATTTAAATCCCCAAAACTCGGTTTTTAGGTTTGCCTCCAATAGCAGTGCGGGTAGGGTGAAAAGACCAAAATGAAAGATTTAGTCAGTTGGGAGAGAGTTGAGACAAATGAGACAAAGATGGCAAGGTCCCTCCCCCCTGTAAAATATTAATCCTATACACTCCTCCCTAGTTTCTGTAGCCCTTTAGTAGAAGACCCACATGTTTTTTATGCTTGTCACTGTCCTTTGTTGCACTCGCTTGTCTCTCATTCAGCAATTCGGGCTGGCTGGTGGGTAGCCGCCAGTGGTGTTTCTCAAACTCTGCTCTCATTCAATAACTGCCTAAGTATTAAACCGTTACGGGATATTAGCTCAGGAATGTATTGGTTCGGAAAGGGATTCTGAGCCAGAGCTTATTGTACAAGATGTATTTCTTGCGCTTTTATTCATCTGAAGAAAAAGCGTTTGGATATGACAACAAAGCTTGCGAGAATCCAACCAGCATGGAAAACTTCACCTATGAGGAACGTTGTCTCCTAGACGAAGAAAACCTGATCTTTCACACCCCACTGCACTCACTGAATTAGAAAAGGGTGGAGGAGACGTTTGGAGAAGGGGAAAACAGCTCAAAAGCTCATAATTCAATCGTTCTCTTCTGAAAGGATGACTCACTTGAGGCATGTTCTCCTTGTTAAAGGTGAACGTGATGTTGGCACAGCTGTCGTCCTGGTAAGAGAAGCTGGCGTGGCATTTGGAGGGTGAAGGGGGCGCAGGGGGCCAACATTCTCCGAGACTAGGACAGGGTTTGACAAAGCAGTGCTCTTCCTTGATGGGAACACAGGATTGGCCAGCAGGACACCCACTTCTGGCCTTTCCTGCCCGACATGATTTTGGTCCACACCACATCTAAACAAAAAAGGGACACAAAAATAAGCATTTTTGATCGCATAATTAAGAGAAGTATTACTAAATGCCTCAAGAATACGATGCAGCAGCAGCTAAGTTACCATGGTGCAATGAATCTTTCCATTTTGACACTGGCAAGCGTTGCAGTCTTCCTCCCATTTAGCACCATCAGCAGCTACTTGTCCATTAGCAATACAGGGTCTCCCAATGACTGTGAACGACATCAACAGAAGAACATGACATGGCAAGAAAGGGGTTGGTACGGTTTGATCTTCTTGAGTGAAAACTGAAGCATTACATTTCCATTTCCATTTTAAGATTGCCATATTCATTGCAGCCCACGTACATCAAATTGATGTGAACTGTCAAACTGATGAGACTTTTTTTTTTACAACTTTGGCACTGTTGGCAAGGTTAAGTCATTACTATGTAGGAAAGAAAAGATTTTGGAGGTGTTAATGCAGGTCGTGATGTTCTTTTCAACAAGAAATGATGGTCTCCCGAGGGGACAGGTGAGGTCGGTATGGTTATTTGGTGTGTAGCCTTTTTGCACAAGCTTATATGACTCTCACCTTCTTGACACTCTAGTCCTGTTCTTCCAGGTGGACATTGGCAGCGATAACCATTGATTTCATCTACGCAGGTAGAGCCAATTGCACATGGAGAAGACTGACACTCATTTATATCTGAAGGAATGAAGAGAATCTTTTAGGAATGCTCTGAACTTTTAAAGTCCTAAAATATTCCAATCGCATGAAGAGCAACAGGTACGGTCTTGTTTCTCACTAAAAACATTGAAATATTGTAAAAGAAAAAAGGATTTACCTAAAAAGCAAGACTGCTTAAGATATTAAAGGCTTGTTTTCTAAGAATATCTTCGAGTTAAGGTTTGTTTTTGCTTAAAACAAGACAAAATTGCCATGTGGTCTTTCTCATTGAGTTAAATATTCATAGTTGTAAGGATTTTAAGCAATCATGTCTTTATTCTGTGTCATGCAAAACTCCCAAAGAGATCACTTTGATTGAGACGAGTTCATAAAGTATGAGCGAACACCCTATCCTGATGGACTATATCATCTTGGGCTCAGCTGACATTAACGTCACAAGCTTATTTGCAGGTTTGGATGCAGTAAAGCCTGAGGCATGTCTCGTGCAGCCAGATGAAAGCTTTTAAAAGAGCAAACCGAGCTCTGTAATCAGTGCTGGATAACTAGGCTGATTGGCTTTCGGTCACTGCGAGTCAGTTTCTCTCGAGGGGCCGTGAACATCAGTGCTGCAGAATGCGAGGACGCTGCTTGCTTTGCTGTTGGCACTCTGCCCAGAGGGCTGGCTAATTGGGTGGCTAGACTGTGCATTTTGCTCCAGCTCTGTTTGTTTTTGTTTGTTTGTTTTGCACATTAACAGGGCTGACAGCCAAGAGTATCGGCGTCATCTAACACTCACTTATGCGGCAGTCTGGCCCTGCAAACCCCAGAGCGCACTCACAACGGTACCAGTTTTCACCATCCACACACGTCCCGCTGTTGTAGCTGTGGAGAGAGAAAGACAGAAGCTCAGACACAGTTCGGTTCAGACATCTTTGCAGCATTACAAACCGGGTTCAGAAATGGCATTAGTCAAGCACCAAAGGAGACTCAAAACGTTCATATTGACATACTGTATGAGAGCTGTTGGCTAAGTTTGACTTGGTCAACTAAAATGGAAAGAGTAATAAAAAAACAAAAACTATATATATATATATATATACACACAAAAAAATCTTATAAAATAAAATTAATAAAGTAAAATAAAAAAATAAGCATAAAACCAAAAAATATATAAAAAATAAATGAATACAATAACAAAGTAAAATAAAAAAATGAATACAAATATATTTAAAATAAAATATAATGAATAAAATTAAATAAAAAAAACTTAAAAAAAATAATAATATAAAGTGACAAATGAATAAAGTAACATGAATAAACAATATTACATAAAATGAATAAACATTACATAAAATAAAATAAAATTAATAAAAAGCAATCTAAATTAAAATTAAAAATATTATTGTATATCAAAATATCTCCAACTGTAATGTCAAGCCCTCACTGATAAAAGTGACAAAAGGATTCAAATCAAAGACATACCAAACTGTGTACTAATAAAAAACATCTGTCACTGCTTGCATGTCACAACAACTTTTACAACTATGTAAAAATAGGTCCAATTATTATAAGTACATTTTATCAGTTCACTGTTATCAGCGGACCTTAATTCCTAATGACAAAATCCTTATCAAATGAACTCATACTAATCTCTTTTGCTGGGATGTTATTGTGAACTCAAAAATCTTGCTTAGACAACTTCTCGAGCAGATGAACCCGATTTCAAAAGCACAATAGGCAGCGAGCTTAACGCACCCTTGGAATGACAGAAGCTATGGGAGTGCCTGTTTCCCAGCACTGTGAGAGAGTGTGAGAAAGTGCAGCACAGCTGTACGGGCCTGTTTAGAGCGGCAGGCTGTGTGTGTAAATGTTTTGCCAGGACTTACCATGGGTGTGGGTTGCAGTCGTTGGTATCTAAAAGAGAGAGAGAAGAAGGTTTGTTTCACTTCACACCCATGTGAGCACATAAGAATGAACGCAACAATCAACATGTCAGAGCTTGTGTCGGTGTGCATCTGTGTGCTCGCGTGGGCGTCCAGTTTGGCAGAGTCGCTGATTGCTCAGTAACTAACTGACATGCTGTCTCCAACTTTTCTTCTCTTTTAATTTTTAGGACTCCAGGTTTCTCCGTTCTCACAGAGCGAGAGGTGCACAACAATACATGAGAAAGGCACATTGAGGGGGAAAAAAAAAAAAAGAGCAGAGGAGAAGCGGTGGGCTTGAGGAGGGGGGACATCTGTCTCCACTTTCCCTCATTTACATTTTTTCCTTCATAGCTGGCAGCAGCCGACAATGTCCAGCCAGGGTGAGGTGGGTTTAGAGAAAGAATGGAAAAGAACGAGCAAGACAAAGCCAGGAAAATTGATCCCTGCTTTATTCTCAGACTAAATAAGGTTTGAAAAAATTTAATTTTATGAGTAAAAATATTCCCTCTTCCGCTTTAAATCTACCTAGGAGTTTGGACTGCAGTTATCTACCGCAGGAAGCAGTACTCACTCTCGGTGCAGGTGGATCCTTCCCAGCCTTCCTTGCAGACGCAGGTGAATGAGTCGCCGTTGACCACACAGGTGCCTCCGTTCTCACATGGGTTGGGCAGACAGCTGCTGTTCTTGGCTGCAGAGGAGCCACAAAAGAGGTCAGAATGCTTTGAACTGAACAGATCAACACGAGTGCAACCACAACAAGACTGCCACACTTAAAACAGACCGGCTACATCTTGAAGTATTACCAAGTACAACATTTCCCAAGACTCGTATTACCAAGTACAACTAAATTTCCCATCAAAGAATTGGAGCCGACCGTACGCCAGATATTATATTTTCTGCATCAAAGAAATCTACAAAAAACGCTCGTCCCAAAATCTGATGGGGTTATTTTACAGATCGGGCAGTTTGAAGCAAATTACTGCCAATACATTTACAGAAAGAAAGTGAGATTTCAGTCTGTGAGCTAGAATGATTGAATGTGAACAATGTTTTCCTCCTAGTTTGCAGAGCAACTTTGTTATTTCACAATTTACACAACCGTTACTACTATTTCATTCAATGATTGGTTGGAAATGCAGTGTTATAGTAATAAAGTTAAATGTCTTCTTAATGGAGATAATATTTTTTGGCTTTAGTACAGTGACAACATAAATGCCAATTGTTTAATTTTTAAACAACATGTTATCTTTGTCTAATATCAAAGTTTCCCAGTGGGGTGGGGGGGTACTTTGCAAAGTGATCAAACTTAGGGGTCCTTAGCATTATAAAGTTTAAAAATGTAGTGATCATAATATTCTAGAAATAATTATTTCTGAAGCACTCACAAAGATACTTGCAGCAAATATGTGCCAAATTATTTGCCGCACTGCTTGCTCCAAACATTGTCACAAAGTGCATTTTCATGTAAAAGTATGACTTTACAGCAAGAAGTGTGCTACAGGGATTTGTGGGAATGCAGTGTTTTTGTAAGGGCTTGATGCACATGAGCTGTATCACATTCAAAGATAGAGAAAGTGAATGGGCGAATGTCACCCAAACTGACCTATGTTACACGTGGCTCCTTCCCAGCCAGGTGAGCACCTGCATTTGAAGATGTCCCCTTCATCATGGCATGTACCACCATTGTTGCATGTAGCTTCGTCACATTGGCTATCACCTGAAATTACAATTGATCCAATAGTATTTTATAACCCACACACAAACAAAAACTCAGCAAACTGGGTGGGTCATAAAAATTGTCTTTCGTACGGGAGTGGCATGTTTTTCCCTTCCAGCCATTTCTGCATTCACAGTAGAAATCGTTCACCAGGTCTTGACATGCTCCCTTGTTCAGGCAGGGGTTCAAGCTGCAGTCATCTATGTCTGAAAAAAAGGGGGAGAAAAGAACAAGAAAATAAGCTCAAAGAAGCACAAACATTCAGCATAAGCAGAGAAAAATCTATTTAAGTGAACATACTGATTTCGCAGTGAACTCCTTCCCAGCCGTCAGCACAAATGCACTGATAAACGTTCACCTTATCGATGCAAGTACCGCCATTGCGACATGGGTTACTCTCACAGTCGTTTATATCTGAAAAAAGACCACAGACGCCACAGAATTTAGGATCATCTACATAGACGATAGGGATGCGCAATATATTGGTTGATTATCAGCTATGAATGATTTTCATTTACTGGTATTGGTCGTTGTGGCTCAAATTAATACTGATTGGCTGATATTGGAAATTTAATTGTGCAAGTTAATTTTCTCTATTTTTACACTGGGATAACCTTTGCTGTCATCTAAAGTGCACTTAAAGTTAATCTGATAACTAATAACTTAATAACACTGTTAAATGTAACCTTTAGCAAATCTAATTGAATATCCATTTGTCAGACTGTACATTATAATGTTATGAAGGGTAAATTCACTTGGAACATTTAAAACAACTGATTTTAGCTTTCAGTGTTTTACATCTAATTAATTTAGACAAAATAGTCTGGAATTTTAAAACTAGGCGTTTATCGGTTATCGGACATAAAATTAAAATAACTGTAATGTCGGTGCATCCCTCTAATTCGATAATAATGTTTAGTCTTACTCTCATGGCAGTAGGTGCCTCTGAATCCTTCCTGACACTCGCATGTACTTGGCCACTTTACATGCCAGCCCCATTCATGCTTAAAAGAAAAAACTGAATATTACACTACTCGTTCACAAGTTTGGGGTCAGTAAGATTTGTAATGTTTTTGAAAGTCTCTTATCCTCACCAAGGCTGTACTTATTTGCTCAAAAACAGAGTAACAACATAAATATTGTGAAATTTTATTGCTATTCCTAATAATTGTTTTCTAATTTAATATATTATAAAATGTAATTTATTCTTGTGATGGCGAAGCTGAATTTTCAGCAGCCAATACTCTAGTCTTCAGCGTCACATGATCCTTCAGAAATCATTCTGATATGCTGATTTTGTGCTAAAGAAACATTTCTTATTATTATCAATGTTGAAAGCAGTTGTGCTGCTTTAATATTTTTGAGGAAATCTTATGATGAATAGAAAGTTCAAAAGTACTGTATTTATTTGAAATATAAATTTTTTGTAACATTATAAAAGTTAACTGTCACCTTTGATGAATTTAATGCATCCTTGCTGAATAAAAGTATTAATTTCTTACTCACCCCAAACTTCTGAACAGTAGTGTGCATTGATAGTAAAAGATCAGAAGATCTCCTACCTTGCAAGTTCCTCCATTCAGACATTGACCCTGGCAGTCATTTATGTCTGAAATTGAGAGAAATATGTTTGAATTTTTAAGTCAATCACAGCAGACAGAAGTCTAAATGCCGAGATTAAAAGAAAAACACAGATTGTCATACTCACTTGTATCACAATTCTGACCCATCCAGCCAGTGAGACACTCGCAGAAATATCCACCAATCAGATTGTGGCATGACTTGGCATTCACACATGGCTTGTCCTCACATTCATTGGCATCTTTGCAAAAAAAAATTGTGATTACCTCCCAGTTAAAAGCATGATGAATGATGAAAGTCAGACTTCATATTGCTTCACTAATCTCTCACCAATCAGACACATTTTGCCGGTCCAGTGAGGAGGGCAGGTACATTTGAAGCCATTAACCAAATCCTGACAGGTACCTCCGTGTTTGCATGGGTTGGGTGTACAATCGTCCACATCTATGAGATCAGAGCAGGTTAGACAAATCAAGAGTTAATGAATATCTTCTTCTGAGTGTGTTTGTGTGCCTTCTTACTGATTTTGCACGATGGGCCGCTCCAGCCGGCTGCACAGTGACACTCGTAACCCTGACTGGTCTCCTTGCACGTCCCTCCATTCGCACAAGGGTTGGACAGACAGGCATGTTCAGCTGTGAAGGCAAGCACATTTTATCACTTGTTTGAAATTTGTATTGATTATTCACCTGAAAATCTGTCATTATTTACTCACCCTCATGCTCTTTCAAACTCTCTTGTGAAGCCATATGATCGAACAAAAATTAGTTTCATAGAAGAAAGTAAGTTTGAAACTACATGCGGATGAGTATAATAAAGACAATTTAAATTTTTGGGTGAACTATAGGTCTGATATGCTCTCAAGTCTGCATCTACAGTGACCAGAGTATGCTGATCTAACCTTTGCACATGGCTGATCCCATTAACTTAACAGTTAGTTAAGCTTTTATCTTCCTGCTTAAGACGGAACAATTCCTCCAATGGTTTGGAGAGAGGAAGATTTCACTGCCTCAGGAGGTTTTCACTCACCACCCTGAGGGCTTGAATCTGGATCATATGAATCTGAGAGGAGGATGGGGAGGAAAAAAGCCATGACGGTCCATCTGGCAGATTTCATCACTATACCCATCCAACCACTGACTGTCAAAACAGATGAGATCCACTGGCAGGACATATCATAACAGAGGATTAGCAGACCTGGGCGCCCTTCCTGACACTGTAGACAGTTAAGGCCCCGAGGTCTGACATCACCTGATCCCCCATAGGCTCTCTACGCCCTTTTCCATCTAGTTAAACCAGAATGCAATGACACTGCTGCAAAATTTGACTTGGTGTAAATAACAAAATGGCATTGTGTATAAAATGGACTTGTGCCAACAGAAACACAGAAAGCAGCGCATAATGACTGTAAAGATTTATAAAATGAGACAATCAAATTCAGGCTGAATGACTGCATCTAAACTGCTCTGTGTATCAAGTTTCAAGCAGCTACAGTATCATTATGTTTCAGAGTCATAAACAGGGAAAGATGGTGAACCGTTTGGGCAGTACTGCTAAAATAAACCATACACACAATATGCAAAAAATTTACCTGCAGAACAACAGCTTGTTCCTCTAAGGGACACATCTTTGTCTTATCTGCCCCTAAAATGTTCATAGTAGTATCTTAAGGGTACATATACTACTCTAAGGTAGTAATTTGCACCTTTTAGGGCTAGATAAATTACAAACCCATCCTTTTAAAGGCACTACCCCAAAAAGGTACCATTTTTGCAAATTTATGTTTGATAGTGCATGGAGTGATTCTTTATAATGCTGTGCATTAGGGTTTGGCCTATAGACGGTGCCATTGTCCATCGCAGATGGCTGACAGACATGGCCAGAACCAACCTTAACTTCAAATCAAAATTCTTGTACACTGGGAAAAAAAATTGGTGTACTTTGAAACAATTTTCAATCAGAAATTGCTAGTAAATTTCACAAATAATTACAAAGAAATGGCAACTAACATGTTAAATTACCCATGAAATTCAATTTTTACAATGTAGAGCTTTTCACAAGCATTAGGAACTTCAAACACACCATATTTAAATGCAAAACGTAAAAAGGGAGACCTTAAAATGGAATGAGGAGGTCAACTATGTCGAAAAAACAAAACAAAACAAAGAAACAGGAAAAAGAACACTTGAGAAAGCACAATACAGATATTTGCTATACAAAACAACTAGCTTCAGTCTTTTCACTAACTGATGCATATTGAATACAAAATGGCAAGAATCACCATTTCAGATTGGTTTATTATTGTGATGTCACTATTTCAAATTAACCAACACCTAAAGAGCACATAAAACAAAACAATGTGTGACTGGCCACTATTCATGTCAGTCAGACAGACCTTTCGTGACTAATTGGACGTTTTTTGGCCAAAATCTGCAAACTGAACCAGACTTAACGCCATTGTTTGAAAGTGTGGCTAGCAAGACTATAGCATGATAGACTCACCTCGTTCACAGTTGACCCCGGAGTAGCCGTCTTCACAAGAGCACTGGTACTTGTCAGGCCCTGTATTGCTGCACGTTCCTCCATTCAGACATGGCTGGTGAGTTCCACAGTAGTTTAAATCTAAGAGGTAAGAACATTCAGTATTAGTATTGAATGTTAGGAAGCAAAGAAAAAAGAGAATAAATAAAATGAAAGTGTGCTTACCTTTGTCACAGAGTTGTCCACCCCAGTTAGTGTCACAGAGGCACTGCCAGGGTTCAACGCAGGTTCCGTGTACACAGCCCGGGTGAGGGATGCACTTATCACAGTACGGACCCTGCCAGCCATACAGACACCTGAAAAAGACAAATATACACTAAGGTAAGGTTTCATAAATGGAAAATGACCACTATGTATGTATTATTAGTTATTCAGTTATCATGAACAGAATGAATAACAAAGTCAGTAATTTCACGATTAACAGTGGAAAACAAATTTCAACACAATATTACTTTAATGACGTTATTTTGATTAAAGAGAAGAAAATGTTCTTGTTTACTTTGACAAATTCAAATAATATCCACCAACACCACTTTTAAAAAGAGTTTGCTTATCCAGTTCTCTCATTTTCTCAATAGGCGTCAGGGTTAAAGAAGTACTTATAAGAAGTTATAACAACAACACCACACAAAAACAACGTGTAGTGATTTTCTGAAGCATAATCTACCATAATTTTCTCAAAGTACTAATCAAAACTTTGAGAAAAATATTGTTTTTCAGGGCATTCAATGCTAAAGGGTTACCCTTTCATAAACTCTTTTTTAAAGTTCACTCCAGTCCACTGGGAAAAGGGAAACGCCGACAACTTCTTGTCTGATTATTTAATGCCAAGCCATGCAAACAACAAACAGCAGCTTTAAAACTCCACTGGGTCTTTTAGAGAGACTAACATTAGCTTGTGGCAGGACACTCTGTCTCAATAAAAGCGGAGCAGCTTGGCCCCAGAACTGCTCGGACTGTCTGGGTGGGTGGTGGGGAGGACTGTGTTTGTAAACTGCTCCATTGGCCAATGGATTTATGCCGGGTTGTTTTGCATTCTCACTCCTGTTCCCATGTAGCTGTTCTCCGCCCCGGGAACGAAGAAAACAGAGTCAGATCTACAGCCGCAGAATATCTCTAAGCCTGTAATTAAAAGCCATCTCCAAAACAGCTCAGCAATAGCTCTACACTCCCCCCTTTAGATGGCAGTAATTTAACAGCATGAGCGAGATAACCTGCTCCTTAAAGAAGGACTCAGATGAGATAGTAAGTCACTTGAGCACTTAGCCACAGGAAAACAGACTGCCCTCTGGAGAAAAAGAAAACAATTAGCCTGAGGCGGCAGTTCAGCTGTAAAAATAAACACGGTGGTTGAGGAAACCTCTCTTAAAGACAACTATTCTTAAACGTGCGAGAAGGTTTCACATCAGCAATGTCTTAAAAGTGACTTTGAATGATATTGAAGCAGAAATATGACTTTAAATCTACATGGCTGAGAAAGATTTTCACCTCGACTGTAGGCCTCGGCGGTTCCGATTTAGCACAGTAAGAGCTCTTGTTACAACAGTTGCACAATTGCATGGTTGTGTGTTCTGGCAAGCTTTCAGTGAGAGATGAATAGGTAATGGGATATAATCATGCCAAATGTAACAAAGAGCTGAGGTTTTAGTATACATTGAATTCCGTAGACTTCTAGCCTTGATCTTGAACGCTTTCAGCGATGGTACAACGATGAGAATTAGTCAAACAAAACATAGTAATAAAACATCATTACCGTCAGACCAGAAAACATGTGAATACCCTATAACAAACCAACGGAAAAGCAGAAAAAGCCCAATGCAAAACCTGCCATGACTTGCCCAAGCCAATAGAAGATTAGTTTGTTGCGCAGGAAATTCAAATTAACTTGATGCCCTACTCACCACAAATAAGTTACACATGATGCATTCCTTTATGATGAAGCAAATAACTTCAGAAAGCCTTGTTTATGCATTTTTCCCCATGCATGCTGCAATCGTACACATTACGAAGCAAAACCTAACTTAAGAAACAGTCTAGGAAAACATGCTGCTATGGAAGGATGGAACCCCACCCCACAAAATTGCTTCAAATTCTGTTCTTTAGGTAAACAACACAATAGAATAAAACCACCATGTTATTTTATTACATATTAAACAAGCCAGTTAGTTTATGACCTATTTTGATGTGCATCAGTGTTACAAAAGTATTTATGATGCACTCATAAATCACTGAGCTATAGCTGTACACAAACACACAGATACGCTTCGCTTTCTCTTCCCCGTGGCCAAATTCAAACATCATTTGTAAAACAAGCAGTGCGTTTTGAAACCCAATTAAAGGTTGAACTTGGCAGATTATGGTTTGTAGATAAGGCTTCAACATCTTGCCAGACAAAAGCAAAACATAAAATGGCTAAAAATAGCTTTGTGCTTCAGTTGTCTCTACAACATGGCCTTATTGACACCGTCTCACTGCTAAACGCCAGCCATGTTGCATATTTGTAGGTGGATGTCAGTAATCTGTGCTTTCATTGTCTGTTGAACAGAAACAGAGCTTGGGCTATCAGACCCTGATAGGTCAAACAGGACACATGGATAAGCCTCTAGTTGTGGTGAAAGCTTGTACTGTTGCATCTTTCACTCTTTAACAAGGCTTGACTTGTTGCTCAAAATGTTAAAGAGCAAGGCTGAGGACAAAATAAAAAAAAGATACTTTTTTGGCAGGAAATGCCATAAAAATGTTAAAAGAATAAAGAATAATATTGCAAATAACTTACTTGCAGCCACCTGGTTGCTTACAAGATCCATGTTCGGTGCTGCAACCTTGTCTGCAGATCGCTGGAAAACAGAAAGAGTGGGAATGGATGAATGAGAGTAAGTTTGTTCCCCATTCTTGCTGGGCTATGTACACCATGAGCCTCAATGTCCCCTGTTCACTTATGAAAACATTTTGGCAATGTATAGGGCGGAAATCTTTCAACCCCCTGACCAGCCTAACTGAATCTTACTCTAATTTGAGTCCTGTCGTCAGGCTTCGGGTGCCGTGCTCTCCATTCACCACTTATTCCAAACTATCACTCTCACCCACCAGCCTCTTAAAATGGCAACTGTTTGCAAACCATTTTACTTCATTATCAGATGCCCAAACCAATGAAATTTATGAAATGTCCTGTCCTTAATGATTGTTAAATAGAGATACAGTATATAAATAAAAAAATGATTTTTCATATTTCTATTTTAAAGTATAATATTTTATATTATATACTTTATCATATAATACAATTTCAGTTCAGCATAATTGGAAAATGTACAAAAGTTTGGAGATTTTTTAAAAGATTTTTATGACTTTTATGACTATATGTTAAATGCTGTTTTTTTTTTTTACTTTCTATTCATTAGAGAATCCTAAAAATTGACAGTTTCCACAAAAATATTAAGCAGCAATGTTTTTTACATTGATAACAATAAGAAATATTTTTTGAGCACCAAATCAGTATATTAGAAAGTATTCTGAAATGACACTAAAGGCTGGAGTAACGGCTGCTGAAAACTCAGCTTTGCATCACAGGAAAAAAATACATTTAAAAATATATTAAAATAGAAAACTATTATTTTACACAGAAATATTATTTTCACAATATTACTGTTTTTACTGTAGTTTTGATTAAGTAAATGTAAAAAAAAATAATAATGTGGCAGCAACATAAGTCTACTTGCTCACCCGTATTGCAGTCAGGAGCCGTCCATCCTTCCAGGCAGGTCTTATTGCCATTCTGATCACAGGTGTAATGTCCAAAGAATTCGTCACGTGGCCGGCAGAACTTGTTGCAGCCAAAGCCGTAGTAGTGTTCATCGCAGGTGACCCGGATCTGATACTCAAACTGGGCGATGGGGCCGTTGTGGGTCAGCCTCTGCCACTGTCGATTTGGGTTGATCATGCCAGAGTGGTACGCTTTCTCGATGAGCTTTCCACCTGAACAGTCAATGTGTAACACTCAGAAATGTAGTAGAGGTTATGTTTATACCATAGACAGTCCATCCGGCTATCGGTGGGCAGAACTGAAAATACAGAACGCATCATGTCCAAAATAAGTCAAGATGCGGAAAAACGTGTTATCAATGGATTTCTGTTAGGCACAACGTGAAGCAAAGTTTACACTTTTTGCAGTCGCCAAGCATCATCTCAAGTTGCTTTTTATATTTTAGAACAGCTTCAAACATGGCTACTATTAGAAATCCATTTTACAATGTTAGATTCAATGTTTTGAGTCCTATATTTTTAACAAAATTTTTGAATAATTAGCTATTTGTTTGTGTTCACGTTCCAATATGTATCCAGTGAATATTTTATTCACTGCTTTATCCCAAAATTTGTATTACCACATGCCTATTAATTAGGCTATATACACCTTTTGTCTCCAGCAAAAATAACAATAGCATTTTTTATTCTTACAGTGATGTAAAACTACTTCTACCCTAACAAGACAAAACTTCCCATCTATATTCTTAATTCTGCTGTTTCTACCCGCAGAAGATGAGGTAAGCTGACAGCTCACATCTTTCACCATTTTATTCCTGAATATGACTAGAACAGGGTACTATGACATGTCTATTCCTCCCTTTCACATAAACTCTTATCTTTAAAGTTCTCCGCAAACGGATGCAACATGGGTAGATTTATTAATATGATTCCTAGAGGAGGTAGAAAGAGTGAAAATAGATGATATTATGGAGGCAAGGGGGCGATGGGGCCGTTGTGGGTCAGCCTCTGCCACTGTCGATTTGGGTTGATCATGCCAGAGTGGTACGCTTTCTCGATGAGCTTTCCACCTGAACAGTCAATGTGTAACACTCAGAAATGTAGTAGAGGTTATGTTTATACCATAGACAGTCCATCCATGTGGCTATCGGTGGGCAGAACTGAAAATACAGAACGCATCATGTCCAAAATAAGTCAAGATGCGGAAAAACTTGTTATCAATGGATTTCTGTTAGGCAAAGTTTACACTTTTTGCAGTCGCCAAGCATCATCTCAAGTTGCTTTTTATATTTTAGAACAGCTTCAAACATGGCTACTATTAGAAATCCATTTTACAATGTTAGATTCAATGTTTTGAGTCCTATATTTTTAACAAAATTTTTGAATAATTAGCTATTTGTTTGTGTTCACGTTCCAATATGTATCCAGTGAATATTTTATTCACTGCTTTATCCCAAAATTTGTATTACCACATGCCTATTAATTAGGCTATATAAACCTTTTGTCTCCAGCAAAAATAACAATAGCATTTTTTATTCTTACAGTGATGTAAAACTACTTCTACCCTAACAAAACAAAACTTCCCATCTCTATTCTTAATTCTGCTGTTTCTACCCGCAGAAGATGAGGTAAGCTAACAGCTCACATCTTTCACCATTTTATTCCTGAATATGACTAGAACAGGGTACTATGAAATGTCTATTCCTCCCTTTCACATAAACTCTTATCTTTAAAGTTCTCCGCAAACGGATGCAACATGGGTAGATTTATTTATATGATTCCTAGAGGAGGTAGAAAGAGTGAAAATAGATGCTATTATGGAGGCAAGATGGGCCTATAGTTCATAGGACTCTGGAATGCAGAGGGTCATTGTGGCATTTCACTTGCACCCTAAACCCTACAGCCAGAGCCAAGTGTCATGTCTTTACTACCTGCAGCCTGATCCACTTCACTGTGGGGCGAGGAAGTCACATTAAACTGAGAGAAAAAACCTCTGCGCTCTCAGGACAACGAATAAGGAGAGCTGCTAGCAAAAATGAAAAACAATTTCTACTAAGGACAATTATGTATATGAATATAGTTCTATATTTGATTCATAACCAATCAAAAGTTTGGGATCAGTAAATTTTATTTTTCTTTACTAGCACATTGGCTGTTTGCTAGTACAAGCACATATTAAAGTCTTATTCTGCATGACCATATTCTAGATCCCTTAACCCTACTCCATGCCTAAACATAACTACTACAACAACTACCTTACTTACTATCAATAAGCAGCAAATTAGGAGGGAATTGAGGGAAAACTCTTAGTTAATAGTGAATATGTGTTACCAAATTAAAATTTTTCAGCAAGGACACGGTTTTCAAAAAATATTAAGCAGCACAACTGTTTTCAACATAGATAATAATAGGAAATGGTTCTTGAGTGTCAAATCAGCATATTAGAATGATTTACGAAGGATCATGTGACACTGAAAACTGGAGTAATGGCTGCTGAATATGTGGTTTTGCCATCACAGGAACAAATTACATTGTAACATATTAAAATATATATTTTTTTTTATTGTAATAATATTTCTCAATATAAATGTTTTACTGTATTTTTTTTTTTTTTAAATGCAGCCTAGGTGAGCATAATTTAAACAATATTTAAAAAAAAAACATTAAAAAAAACTTACCAACCCCAAACCTTTGAATGGTAGTGTATGGATGAAAGTGTTTGTCAAATGCATTTAACACTTTTAACCAAAGAAAAAATTTTTCAGCAAGGACACGGTTTTCAAAAAATATTAAGCAGCACAACTGTTTTCAACATAGATGATAATAATAGGAAATGGTTCTTGAGTGTCAAATCAGCATATTAGAATGATTTACGAAGGATCATGTGACACTGAAAACTGGAGTAATGGCTGCTGAATATGTGGTTTTGCCATCACAGGAACAAATTACATTGTAACATATTAAAATATATATATTTTTTTTTATTGTAATAATATTTCTCAATATAAATGTTTTACTGTATTTTTTCTTTTTTTTTTAAATGCAGCCTAGGTGAGCATAATTTAAACAATATTTAAAAAAAAAAAAACATTAAAAAAAACTTACCAACCCCAAACCTTTGAATGGTAGTGTATGGATGAAAGTGTTTGTCAAATGCATTTAACACTTTTAACCAAAGAAACTTTATATATTTAAGGTACTGTGTGATCGGTTTATACATTTCCTACATTTCTCTGACTTTGGTGTTGCTAGCAGCATGTTCTACTGTTTGAGCTGGTATTGCTTTAAAAAATTTTTGGCCAAAATCTACCTTTAGTTGACAATATGATATTTTGCGATATTCATAAACCTAAAGTTACAAAATCTTCTCAAAATACAGCAAAATCACAAATTAAGGCAAGTCTGAATTGGCTACAGATTTGGGGATTTCCAGATTCTAATGCTCCATTCAAAGATTCAAATCCAATAAACAGAAACAAATACCTCTCAAATATAGCAGGGCACATATTAAGAATTATTTGAAAAGACAACCAATCCAAAATGACAGGTTCTAGGATCAGAGCATATCAGGCATATGCAGTCTATAACCTGATAAATACTGTAGAGTACAAATCAAGAGTACAACTTCAACATAACCTTTTCTGCAACAAAAACTTAGAACTCAAAATATCTGGATCATGGCTGAAAGTCGCTATATCAAAGTTAATGGTAACACAACCCAGACGAGTTATTCAAATGAACTCTACCAGACTCAGTTTAGTATTTAAATGGAATTGTTTCTGAAGTGTTAAGCCCTGTTGAGGTGTAAGAAGAGAGAGGTTATAGCAAACATAACCTTGTGCTTGAGCTATGCACCGTGACGGAGAGGCCGTGAGACCTTGACTGCCAACACCTGCCATTAGTCATCAGGTATTCGGAAACATTTTCATAAGCATGAGGCCCCCTCAACAATGTTTCTCACAGACACACACGCACAGTCTTCCTCTTCTTCTTTTCCCTGTCCTGTCACATACACCTGTCAGCACATTTGGTTTAAAGACTAGCAAGCTATGAGCGGAAATGGTAGAAAAACAAACTTAAATTTGTTGCATTTCCCAAAGTTTAAACAGAAAAAAAAGCAGGAGAAAAGAAAAGAAAACAAACTTTAATTTCGTTTCCCAAAGTTTAAACAAAAGAAAAAAGTTGTGCAGAAGAAACTAAATAAAACAAAAATAGAAACAAATCAAACAAGCAAGAAACAAAGAAAGAACATCAAAGAGAGAAACAAACACAACAGACAATCTATCAACCAAAAAGCTAATAAAAACAAAAAGCAAAACAAACAGCAAAAGATCCTGCTACTCACTTTCACTGGTGGTCTCGTTATTGAAGTCCAAGGCCTCCACTATCAACGTGTAGGACCTCTGGAATAGAAAAACCCACATGCAGTCAGCAATGAAACCAAAACACAGAAACATCAAAGATCATTTTACATCAACAGAGCTTTAGTCGGGGACCTTGACTCGTAACCAATAAACACCAATGACAAAATGTGACCATGGGGACACACTGCGAAATGTGCCGTGAAAGATCAGAAGAATAATACAACCTTCACCTTATCTGGTAGTGCTCTCCTGAAACTTTGTGTAGATACAGTATCACCATCTTTACAATTTAAACAATGACTGGCAGAATAGATCAACAAGCATCCATGATTTGGTAATATGACTATGGGAGACTGTTGTTTAACTCTAACCTTCGCAGTACACCTGAGTGACACTTCATAACGTTATTTAATCATGAAATGTGTTAATTAAAGCTTATTTGCTTGTGCACATAAAATTAAACTATTACATTTTGTGCAATTTGAGCTGTTCCTTTACAAAAGTTTTTTATAATAATAATAACATTAATAATAATAATGAATAAAGAAATTATAATAATATTAGTAATAATAATACACTTAATTTGTAAAGCACCTTTCATACACGGAATGCAGCTCACAGTGCTTTACAATAAAAAAAATCATTACAATAAGCACCAAGTACTTCACATGGAAACAAGTAAAAAAAATCCTTATTCATATAACATGAGATTAAAAATGAAATCCCCTTTGTAATGATAATAAAAGACAAAATTATTACATACATAAAATGCATTAAAAAAAATGGACATTCAAACCAAGTAATAAGAAAGCAAAACAAATTAAACAAATTTAGGCTTGAGCATTGCAGCATCAGGCTGTTTCTCTCCATTCTGAATTTTTCCCCCAGATAATAATGAAATTTCCAAAAATGACAGACCTCAAACTTCTTTTACGTGTGTGTGTTTATTATGTGAGGGTCTAGTAGAGCTGAATCACTGGGTCGTGTTAGTCTCACTGACAGTTATGTGGCATCAGTTCAGCGGTTATTGTAAGGACATTAGGTCCAACATTTTGTACATTCAAAGGAGTCCTACTATCTTTGTACTAACTGTATTTTGCAAAACTGCCATTAAATTTGCAGTTTGACAAATTGGATGGTTGAGAAACACAATGGAATTGGATGGCTGCATCATAGTTCTTTAATATATACAATGATAATGGATTATCCATATCCATGTACCACATTATTTACATGGTACTCCAAGAATACCACAGTGGCTGGCAAGTAAAACCTACTGGTAGATGTCATAACTACACCATTAGGGGGCAAAAAAAAAAAAAACTTTTCCCATTGAAATACTTTTTTGTCCTGTGGAATTCTAAGATATTTTATGGTAACCACTTTTAAAAGTGGAAAATGAACTCATGATACTATGTAACTCATGTAACTCGTGATACAAACTTTTTACAAAAGTGAAACGTTTGGGATTGTAAATGTTCTTGTGGTGCCATCAGCCAATCAGCAACTCCTTGATGATGTCATTTTTTTCCCCCCAGTCACAGATTTACTGGTTGGCTGATGTCATCATGTGATTAGTCAAATTACATTTATGGCTCAGGTTATTGGCAAATATATGCAGATTTGAGTGCTCTTAAGCAATAGTGGCATAATTCAAATTGTGGACTTCTTTTCTGTACCAGTTGAGCAATGGGAATGCTAACAGTCCAATGCTGTCCAAGTATTACAGACCTCCTTGGTTCTATCAAGGTTCATATTTAATATATAAATATATATATATATATATATATATATATATATTTGTAATTTCTTCCACACAATGACTTACAATACATACATACTAATAAGTTCGCACTAATGTCCATTCTGCATAATTACCTCACATATATGACAGAAACAGTTACGAGAAGAAGAAAATTGCAGAATGAAAGTGAACTTGTTTCTTTGAAAAACCCACAAAAATCCCCTTTCACTTCTCGCTTTCAGGTCTTTTGTGTGCTGTGTTTTGTTCCTCTTTTTCCCCACGGAGTGGAATGTGGAGTGAGGATCTGAGGGAGTTGCAGGGGGTGGGCTACTTTTAGCATGACTCCAATGCAGGCCGAGATCTCTGGAGGGCTTGGCTACATTTCAGCACTTCTGAAACGCTTTGTCTGACTTAAGGTCATCATGGCTCTCACCGGTATCAGGTAACAAGAGTCACGGAGAGAGAGATTACTCTGCCTAGAGAATAAAATGAGCGTCCATATCTAGGATTTAGCGTTAGAAGTTGATCGAAAAAAGCAGAAGCATATGAGAGAAAACGAGCGTGTGTGCGAACGTGCCTGTGCCAGAACTGAAGCGTCTCTTTTCGGCACCTACTTGTCAAATTCACACACTCGTACTCTTGACGAGGGACCATGGAATTTCCAATATCACCAAGGTTCTCACTGTCCGTTTGCAGCAAGGATGGACCTTGAGTCCCCTACACCACACCATTCAAACAAACCAACGCACAGCACCTCTCACTGCACAAAAAGCTAAAATTAGTCTGCGCCATTCTGGTCTCGATGCCCTGAAAAATATCAAGATCCAAATCGACATATTTAGTCAATACATTTTTGATAGTATTTTAAACTAATTTCCCAAAAAACAGCATGTATGGCCAAGATACAACAGCCAAGGACGTCCATCTGCATGTAGCGGTAATGCTAAAGTGCATTAAACAAAACTACTCAACTACTTTGAGAAAGTTTTACTGTGCAAAATGTCCAAGCACTTATTAAAGCACAGGTGCTAAAAAAAAATAAAAATTACACTTCTCAAACTCACTAACCAGCTACAGTCACTGTGCTTATGGTTGTCAAATATCAGTTGGATATATGGGTACAAATATGTTTATTTGATGCAAGCTGTGACACCTCTGTTAAGATACACCTTGTCCTTTCTCTCCTTGTCCACACTTGAACGCAATGTGAACACAAACATGATGTTGAATCACGGCCCCCATTGAATTAACAAATCTTGGCAGTTTATGTATATCAAGCGCACAGCTCATTGATTTCAGCTGCTCTGCACTTCCACACATGTGTTTGAAAGTGCTCGCTGCCGTTTATAACGGACATGTCCGGACATGAGCTAGCACAACCTCTCATCAGATCAGGGGCAACAGGACGGCGACTAAAAAAGGTGATGGACTTACCTAACCTTAACCAAAGCAATTGTTTTTCCTGACATTATGTAGTTTTACATTCAGATTTATGCATTTGGCAGATGATTTTATCCAAAGTCACATGAGCTTGGCGTTGCTAGTGACATGCTCTATCTACTCTTTGAGCAACAGGAACGTTTTGTGCCCTATAAGGGTTTAAACAGACTAAATGAATGTCAGTTTTTTGGTGAGAAGCAGAGGAAGTTTTAAAGAAAAGGGCCGCTGTGGATCTCACTTCATAACTCACAATCTGTTTATCAGCTCTAAATGCCTGCTGCTGCCAGGTTCATGTTTCCCATGCTTGTCACTGACCTCAGTGTCATCACTGAATGCTCACTATCCCCATCAGCAGACTCCCAAACTTTACATTGCATTTGCTTTATCATTCTAGGCCTGCACAGACATCTGATAAAGGTCTACATTTACTCCCAAACTCCCTGAGCTCTGATATGGGACGTTTTTCGGCTTCTACAAACGGCCGAGGCCTCTCGTTTGTTGCTTTTATCACACTGACTCGCTGTGGGAATCTGTCAAGTGATATCTCGGCTGGTAAAAGTCTGATTGCTAATAAGGAGAGGCTGACATGTAGAGTGACAAACGTTCTCAACAATGGCTCCGGATGTACTCCACCAGATTCCAATCAATCAAAGACAACAGGATTTACATTAGCAGCTTGGAAAACTAGACTATGACCAAGAAGGCAGATGCCCTTTTTTGCCTTTCAGGAGGTGCAATTACAGAAGGAAGGCCTTTTTTGTGGGAGATTCCTATCAGGAGTGCTGGCCGGAGATAAGGGGGGCTAGCAGGGAAAGCTTTTGACAATCTTTCACTGCTCTCTCTGGCATGAAAAATGAGACCGGCTTCCCTGATAACAGGTCTGTCAGTCACCTGTGCGCACATAAAACGCTACTGGCAGCCATCTAATCTCCTGTCACTCAAGAAGGCGATCGCTGGCAGGGACTGAGGAGAGAATCGGATCAAACGGCACATCAGCTGTCAGATATCCAGTCAAAGGGTGTGTATTCAAGATTAGACCTCTCAATACAACAAAATGTTCCCTGGTAATATCATGAGTCTGAATTAAGTAAGTCGCGTGTGAGGTGATTGAGAAAAGTTAGCTAAACAAAACATCACTACAAGTACAGTACTACACTACATTACAATGTCCTAACATTGCCTCATTCAAGAACTTAACAAGGGTGAGAAGGGTGACAAATTATGCATTTCCTCATTCAACGACTTGAGTAATTTGCGCTTAAGTGCCACATCAGAGGAGACTGTATAAAGCAAGCATGTCATTATCCCCTTAGCTGCCCGTAGCTCTTTACCTCAGGCTTGTGGACGGTTCACCTGCATTTTTATTCCCACACCGACCTTCAGCCTGCTGTCTTTTCCAATAGCACGAGAAATGGGCAGAATGTGCTCAGACAAGCAAAAGAAAGACTTTAAAATATGGTTTGGATTAATTGTGTGTTTACTTTGAAAGGGACATGAATTAAATACACACATAAATTCTAGTTTGGCTTTTAGGAAAGGGAACGGGGTTCACAGACCATTATGCTGAATAGAAGATGGGACAGGAAAAAAGGAATTATCCAATTTGTTGGTGAACCAGCTTTTTGGCTCACGCTGAGCAGACAGGCCCCAGGTGCATTCAGGGCCAAGAGGCCAGAGAGCAGCGCTGTAATTTGCTGAAACGGCCAGTATGAGAAGTAAGGTCAGGACTGGGGCAGGTTTGTCTAGGAGCCGATCTCATCACTGCTGAGTCGAACGCAGCTTCCTGTTGCTTGCCCTGGGCCGGCATTATTCCTGGACTGGCTCCATTATGCACAGTAATCCTCCCTGTAGCCAGTTTGGCCCGGCTATTGTCACCCCCTGTTTCATGTTCGCTGAAGCTGGCTCTGTCTGGGTGGGCCATGCCTAAAACCCCCCTCTCTCTCTCGCTCTCGCTCTATTTTTCTCTCTACACCCTCTCTAAATCTAAAAGCATGGGGCAATCAAATACACTAAAATGTGCAAAATAAATGGGTGGTATGGCTGTAAATGAAACATTTAAAGTTTGGCAACGAGATTTGGCTGTTGTGTCTGGGATCTTGCTGAGAGTAATTACAGAGGGTTGCAAAGTTAAAAGGTGCAATACCTAGTCTCCAGTCAGCCGTGACTGACACAAAGCCTAAACTTTAACTCTTCCCCCGCTGCCAACCGAAAAAAATAATTAGTGACTGACTGAAGTGTCCTATATCGTAATTTTGCAGTATGATTTGGAAGTAGACATCACAAAAATAGCTGGAGTGTTATATGATCAACACATGCCCTTTTTTTGGCCATCTAGTTCACATAGTGGACAGATGGGCAGCTCACTGGGGCGAACAGTTCAAACAGGGACACGTTTTCTTTGACAGACTGACAGTTTGTCCTTTGATTTTTTTATTTATTTTTTTTATCATTTTGATCCCGCTGAATGTATCTACAATTACATCATCAAGCAAGCAGGTGCACAAGTGCTCATGCCAACAGAACATGCGAAAGGACAGTTCAACATCCTCACAGTCAAGAGCTCCTGAGAAATTAACATGAACACAGGGTTCCCACACTTTCTAAACAAAAACCAACTATTCCATGACTTTTAAGATCTGATTAATATATAACTTTTACAGGCCTCAAAATCACATTCCCTGACATTTTCATGTTTTCCAGGACCATGGGAATCCTGTGAATATCTATTTCCGAATGGAGAATCACAGAAAACTGTATCAAGTAGATCAATACCACTAAAATAGCTCCAACAAAGGTATTGCTACAAAAATAAACAGTTTAAGGTTACACTACACCAAGGTTTACAACCCTTACGACCCCCAACCAGACTCTGAGCCAACCCTGTGACCCCCGAGTATAAAAAGAGCTAGATTTTCTCAGAGCAACACTTTCATTAAGAATATTAACTAACATCACTACATAACATATAATTAGAACATAACCAGAAATGTCCTAAAAAAGTATGTTTTATCTAGCCTACATTCTCCATTCACCCACTTGGAGTACCTTCAGGGACCCCCAGGGGTTCACAGGCCCAGAATGTATTTAGTTAATACAGCTAAAATCTGACCCTCATGTTGGCAGACATCACACTACATACTACAGCAGGGATTCCATTACACTGCTGCATATCATAACACACAGCTATACTGCAAATCACCTGCAGTTTAGAAGGACTTGATAAAAAGTTATAAAAAGCCCCTTAAACAGATGACTACCATTTCAAGAGATCATGGTCAACTCATAAATTCTTTAGAGCTGCAAGACAAACATTGGTAAATCTCTCCTCTGTGGAGCTTCGGCTCACGTGCTTCACAGCAAACAAATCTTCTTTTATTTGATTTGCATTCTAATGCAGGCTGAGTAGGTGCAAGATAACTGTTTATTTGATGTATTTATTTACCAAGTTAGCTGACTGCTAAAAAGTAGACACTGAAAGGATCATCATGAGGAGTGCATTTACTGCAGGCCACTGTCAACATAGCACAAAATTCTAATCAAGACATTTATAAATGTTTTGCCAAAGAAACATCTTTGCTTACATCCATTTAGCATTTCAATTTGATCACTTTTATCACTTTCTTCATCAGTAAACAAATTCAAAGTGGTTGACTAGTGTAATGAACTTTGGCACCACTTTGAAAATGTAATGCAGCGATTAAACTGAAGTTCTCGATTTTAGTGGGTTGTTGTTGTGTACGGTGTCATGCACTCGAGCAGGTATAAACTCCAGGACAAACCGCGCACGTGGATCGAAACATTGCTACGATGTATCACCAACGTTAATATGCTCTAAAACAAGAAATCGCCATGAGAAAGGAGGGGCATCTACTCACCGGCCACGCAAAACTGAAGGGTAAAACAATCCTTGACTTTCCACTCCGCGTTCCCTTGGTCGAAAATTTATTCCCACCGAGAACGGCCGTAGATCCAGTTCCGAAACTGCAAGCCCCAGCCGCGGAAACTCGCGATTGATATTCCTTCAGACAAACTTTAAAATATGTATCACATTCGTCCCGCGTGCATTTGCGATCCGCCGGGTTCCTCTCGCCGTCGCAGCACAAGCCGTTCTGCAGCTCGCCGTTCGCATTCTGCATCGATACGATTTCCAGCTCGAAGTGCCCCGATGCGTCAGACACCTGTTGAGCAGAGCAAACTTTACATCCGTGTATATAAAGTGCAGTAAAGTCAAATGTGTCAGGTTTTATGGAATTACTAAACTTGCCAGTCTCCCAATCTGTCAGTGTCAAATTGAACGATACAGAACGTTTGCGCTGCTTAGAGGTCCAAACAAGGTTGTTTTTATATCACACCTAAGATATTTGTCAAGATACGCGTATTTATATGCTGTTTTATAGCCTAATACACATCTTTTTGTGTTGTATGGTTTGAAAATAAATAACACAAAGACAGAAAAAACGTTTAAGTTATTTAAAACAGACTTACCTTCGTCGGCAAGCATAACAAAAAGGCATGAAGGTAAAAAGCAGAAAATACTGAACTCCGTCGCACAATCATGCCTTCTTGTTGGTGTTGCTTTGAGACTCAGAAGTTGTAGCCGCCTCACGGCTCTAATGTACTCCCCGATTTAACATGCACGGGTGGAGAACAACTTTATTTCTTTCAGAAGACTACTTTGCAGTGTGTAGAAAACTGCCTCCTATTATCCCAGCGTATCTGAAATTATTATCTTTCTTATTCTGCTTCTCTCTCTCTCTCTCTCTCAGCGGCGGGTATACATTACACAGAAGCCATGAGAGCGTTTGTCCGCGACTGACTGAATGCGCATTCAAGACACCAAGTTCAGTTAATGGGGGTGGCAAACGCATGCCTAATTTTAATATTCAAAAGTTAAAGGGCGTGGCGTGTATGGAAGCCCCGCCCGTGTCCCCCAGTCCCACAAGATGACGGGTTTATCTGCGAGATTTACAGTGGAATAACCGCATGTTCTTCCACTGCAAAAAAAATTGTTGGGGGGAAGATATAGTTTTGAAGGAAAATGAATGCAATATACTATATTAATTAGTTAGCTGTATGTAAAATATTTTAAATCAAAATACAGTTGTACTGTAAAATATTAAGAAAAACATTTTTAAAAGAAAAAAACATGTAAAAGTTGTATATTAACTAGGCAATTTGACATTAAAATAGTTCAAATAATATCTATCTATCTATATATATAATCATCTGTCTGTCTGTCACTGTGGATCAGTTTCTTTGATATATCAATAACGATAAACGCATCAGCATTTAAAAAGGATGACTTGCAGCCAGACAGATATGAGAGGTCACAGACTCTGTTATTTAGAACTGTGGAATGCACATTTAGAAACTAACTTTGAAAGTCATACAATTTATCAGTGTAGAAATATTGACACAAAAAGGGTCATTCACCTTATGATGTCAACATTCAGTGTTTGAAAAGACTCTTTCAATGGCCATGTATTCTGATGCCCATGTGTGAAAAAAATCCCTGAGGCATTCTGTGTGCATAGATCCACATACAGTCATCTTGAGATAATTACCCCCATAGCTCGTGCTGCCCTCTTGTGGGCATGGGGCAAATCTGAAAAGCTATTCGGATACAGAATCATGCAGACAGGTTATGTAAATCTAATTATGACTCGAGTAACTGCCAGATATCTTATACTCTTCGAGATATTTCTCTGACGTCATACATACGGGTCACGCTACAGGTCATACCACAGACCTTAGTGCAAACAGTCCCACAGCATGAGACAGTGGCTAATCAGTAACTAGTGGGTTATTTCGTCACATCATTTTACAACCGCTGTAGTATGTGAAACAGGCAGGATTTTGGTATGAAATTTTCTGATGAGCAACCTCAGAAGGAAAAGTGCATTTCTACATGTCAATCAAATTGCTTTTTAGTCACAGTGTTAATCTTGATGTTAAAAGATGAGTGAGGGTCTATATTTAACTCTGTGCTGTAACCGAGTAGATTAAGGAAAATTTCCAAGCAATACCACAGAAAGAAAACAATATAAAAGGAATTACAAGCATTTTTATGTCATGTTAGTGTTATTACTCCTTATTAGAATCACTCAGAATCAAGTGTATAGAATTTAGTATCACTAACAGTGCATACCGACTCTTTGTCTGCCATTGGTCAGTCAAACACATAGCCCCGCCCTAAACTCACACCATTGGCTGAGCCAATACTGCTGTTTTAAAAGTTCAGTGTTTACATTTTCAGAGGAATTTACCTTCAGATGGTTGCAAGTTGCCTTATAGAAATAATCTTGGCATAGAAAAAAATGACATGCACATATATGCAATACAGTTTAAAATAAACTCTAGGGCCCTGTTTCACAGACAGGGCTTAGTTTAAGCCAGGACTAGGCCATAGTTCAATTAGGATTTTAAAGTAATTTTTATAAACATGCCTTAGAAAAAACATGAGACAAAACAAGGGCACTGACATATTTCAAGATCAATCATTGCAAGTTTCTTTCAGTTGAAACAGCTCACAAAACTGTCTGTGAATAGTCTACCGGGGGTAGATTTTTTTTTTTAACCGTTGAGCCCCTTCACCTTCATATTGTATTGCCAGAAGAATCACATCCCTCAATAATATGTGTGGCCACATAAAGGAGATCCATAGCAAGTTGAGAGCAAGATGCCAGGCTGATATTTCCTGTCGGTGAGGTTCAAGATTAAGGACCTTTTGTACCGGCCACTGTGCCTTTAAAAGATTCTGACCCCCAAGAGAGGTGTCAGATTACTCACTGCATTCAAATAGCCACTCTGTGTAATAAGGGTTAATTAGACTATTTAGACCTCAAAACTTGAGTGCTTTCCCCTCAAAGGGTTTCGCCCATTTTGATATCCGCATTCACATTTCATCTGGGATGCCAAAACCCTTCTTTTGAAAGTCAGACAGGTTTGTGGGATTTAAACCACTGCCTTTGTTAGAGAGTCTTGACCTGCCACTTTAGGATGGTGCTCGTTTAAAAACAACTATAGATTAGCAAGGTTAGTCATAGATTATAGTATATCATGTTCACTCTGCTATTGTAACTTCAAAAGATGTTGAAGCTGATCTGAAGTTCAGAATCTACTCTGAGAATGTAATATGAAGATTTTGTATTGTAATCTTAAGAAATGGTCATTATTGTTGCTGACAATTATATAAATGTATATAGTATATTTAAATATTATATATTTTGTGTACATATACTGTATATGAATTATATAAAATGATTTACAAAGTTGTGAATAAAACAAAGATTATTGCAGTATGTTTTACAAGAAGATACTATTTTAGTCTTTCAAAAAGATTTAACTTGCTGTATCATTGTAATCTGTTCAATTTACTAGCAATTACATTTCACAGATAGGATAGGTGAACATCCTACACCCATTTTTGTGTGTGTTTTTATAACTTTTTTCATATCAGCTGTAGCGTCTGGACCACCTTTGGGGAGCCCATATTCGACTGGGGACCCGAGATTTGTACGGTTCATCAGATTGAACTAGACTTTTCCGGTCCCGCTCTGCTCTGCTTGCCCCCTTTTTCATCCTTGACTGGGATCAAACCAGGCAGTTATGAGCTTCTAAATCACGCCTGAAACCATGCAGGAACAAAGGGTCAGATGGCTGTTGCAGAGATGACTATCTATTGTCTGACACTCAGTGCTATATACCAGTCCAATTACTTAAGCTTGTTGCCACCTCTCATATTACAGTTCATCAATGCAGCGAGTCCAGCCTGACAAGAATGTGGTGGAACAGATTATGTCCTTAATAAGAAAGCCCATGTGCTTTCACTGCAGGTTCTTGGATCTTGTGAGCCTCTGACTCTTAAAAAGCTATTTAATTCATATGAATTAGATTTTTGTCAAATTGCCATTGGGCCATGTATTATATATTTTTATATATATTTTCAAACAATAATTATTATCAGAATGTTTAACATTATGATGGTTGTAGTGCATTCTATTGGAGTGACCAGAGGTCTGTCTTGGGGATTTGAAATACACTGAGGATTTATCAAAGATCAGTGCTGTGCATCTTCAAAGTGCGCACAGCTGGACGATGGTGAGACAGAACATTGCTGGCAGATGAATTTACAGAAATCAAATGTCTCCCAGAAATAATGACGTATTAATGTTGATCCAAAAGTAATACTGTTGTGCAATATGTCGTCAATATGTGACTGGACAGAGAAAAAGAGTCTGTGTTGAGAGAGAGCTAGGGTAGAATATGAAAGAAAGAAAGAAAGAAAGACAGTAAATGTCCTGGAAAGTGTTGCTTTGTTTTTTCAAGATAGCTGCAATATGACATCTTTTATATTCTACCACATTTATGAGAAATTTCTAAATTATACTGTTTCATATTGAAGAATCTCTTATCAATTATTTAAATAATTTAAAAAGAGCAATCATTACAGTTTTAGAAGATTAATTATAATTCAATTGTAAGTAATTCCAGCATTTCTTATTTTTAAATGTATAAATTAGGAAAATTCTACTTCTTCCAATAATGATCCTTCAGAAATCATTGGTGCTCAAGAAGCATTTCTTATTATTATCAATGTTGAAAACGTTGTACTGCGTAATATTAGTTTTTTTTGACACTGTGATGCCTTTTTTAAGGATTCTGTGATGAATAGAAAGTTCAAAAGAACAGCATTTAAATGAAATAGAAATCTTCTGTAACATTATAAATGTCTTTACTGTCTCTTTTAATTAGTTTAATGCACCCTTACTGTAAAAATAAATAAAATACAGACCCCTTTTGAACAGTGTTGTAGTTTGAAAAAGTCTAATTTTTTCCTAGATTTCAAATAATCCCTCTAATTGAAGGAACACTCATATGCAGATTCACAAGTCATGCAAACCTTATAGATAATGGACAATTTCATGTCAGTGCTTGTGGATATGTACTTTCATGTGTGTTTATGTAGATATTCATCTATGTGCTCTCTAAGCTGTTCAATGATGTTGATGGTCTCATGGTAATTAGTGAGGATGGAGAGAACTGATCCTAGCCAGATGACAAAGTAAAGATGACACAGTGAAGGCAGTGGTATTTGAGGAAGTGAGAGATAGAGTGCTTTGGAACATCTTTCTGCTTATAACTTCTCACTCACTCTTTTAGAATATTTATACTTTGTTTATGTGACCAGCTTTTACTTACCAGGACCAGGATGGCAGAGACTGTGGGTCCTGAAATAAATATTATTCTCCCCTGAGATGTGAGACCTTCATTGTTATTTTCAACATTTATCTTAAACCGGCCCTTGTGAAATAAATAATGGACATTTCATTGGTGGCTGCGTGTGGTGGTAGATGGAAAGAAAAGTAATCAAGCTCTAGGTCAGTTTATAGGTTTGGCTTTTCAGCTATGGCTTGGTCATCTTTTTTTATGGCTATTTATAGGAAAATGTTAGCGAATTTAAAATGAAGCAATAAGGTCTTGCTATGCTTTATATAACACCTGTTGAACGTTGCAACCGGAAAAACGCCTGCTAGTTGCTAATAAGAACGCGAATGTAATCCACTCTCGTGGATTCAAATGTTTAAAAGGCAAAACATCTGTAATATATTAATTTGCGCTACACTACATTACAAATATACATGTCATTCTTTGTTATTCTGAAGTTATAAAAATAAATAGCATGTGCTATTAGAAAACAAACATGTTGTTTTTTTCACCATTTTTGAGACTGAACGACTCGCCAGCGACTCGGCCTGACCTGATTTTCGAGTAAACAAATGCGGTTTGCGCAGGTTTTGAAGTGGAGTATAGTTTAATTGTTTTCT